GGTGCTGCTAACGTCACTAGCTCTCCTCCTGTTGGTTAGCCGTTAGCTGGGGGGGTCAGTACGGATCATGGATTGAGAACGAGCTCTATGTGGGATCTGATCTGTTGTCTTTGCAGATCCGGAGCTCCTGGGTGTTGGTTCCCTGTTGAAGAAGTACATCTCCCTGCTGTGCACTCACATCGGAGACATCCTCCCAGTGGCGACGAGTATCGCCTCCACCGGCCGCCGCCACTTTGCTGAAGTCTCTCGCGTTATTGAAGGAGATCTAACTGGTAATCCCTCTTCTGCTGAGACTTTATGTGCAGCGTGAACTGCTTGTTTTTTTCAAGCAAACTGGTGAGACTGTTCTGGATGTTTCTGCTCTGACAGGAGTGCTGCTGCCTGAGTTGGTGGTGTCCATCGTCCTCCTCCTCACCATCGATGCCGGTTTGATGCAGGAGACCGGGTCCATCCCTCTCCTGGCCGGACTCCTGGAGCACCTGGACCGGTTCAACCACCTGGCCCCGGGACATGAGAGGGACGATAATGAGGATCTGGCTTGGCCCGGCATCATGGGTATAATACACTGACTCAGTTACACTGATTGTGTTTTTTGCTCTCATTCCGAGAAAGACACTATTCCTACTCATCTGTTTTACATGCAGCCGTTCATATTCAGATATTCATGTCTCAACGTCACGAAGGACTTGAATATCAACAGGTTTTTTGGATATGCATACATGTCTCATCAGCATCATGAAGTTGTTTTATGTTAAACATGCACAGCAGCATGTAAACGGGAATATTAGTGTAACGTTCATTTATTATTTTTTAGGAATGAGCACAAAAAGACGAAATGTTTTGTGAAAGTAAATGAAGTCGATGTCACTGACGTGAAATAATTAAAATCCTGAATTCCCTGAACTTGTTGTGAAGATCTGTGTAGAATGTAACTAGCTCTTCTTCTGCTGTGGCAGGATGCTTCTTCACAGGACAAAGTTCCAAGAACAACGAGGAGGTTTCCCTTATTCGCAAGGCCGACCTGGAGAACCACAACAAAGACGGCGGATTCTGGACCGTCATCGACGGAAAGGTGTACGACATCAAGGACTTCCAGGCTCAGTCCCAGTCGCTGGCAGGAAACAGCATCCTCGGTGAGGTCGAACAACAATCGTAGAGAAGATTTGAGACACATCTTTGTCCTTGTTGTAACGTCGTCTCTCCTCTTGCAGCCCAGTTTGCAGGAGAGGACCCGGTGGTCGCTCTGGAAGCCGCTCTGCAGTTTGAGGACACCAGGGAGTCGATGCAGGCCTTCTGCGTGGGCCAGTACATGGAGGTACCGACTGTCCCGACATACTGGGTCCTTCTCATTTTCATGATTTAAGGCGACGAGCATGAAACAAACGAGATGTCGTCGCCTCGGGCCGACATTTTAGAGACGTCCGTTAAACGTGACGTGTGTCACAGCTGATCAGCTGATCATCGTTTAGTCATAACTCTGTGTTTGTGATCTCTGTCAGAGGAACATAACGCTGTTCATGACAAATATATATTTACTAGTAATTCAATTTAAAACTTGACATGTGACGAGAACGATCGGATGTCACACATTCTTTTATTTAACACACACACATATTATCAGCTTTATATATTTTATTGTGTGAAGCACTACAAATGTTTGTATGAAAAATACAATATAACAAAGAGTGACATGTATGATATGATATTCACACAAACACAGTCCTGTCTTTCTAAATGACAACATGAAATACAGTTAATATGAGCTGAATGTTCTGATTGATATGTTTTCACTTGTAAACATGTCAGGATTATAATAATATAAAACATTAGTATCAGCTGAACAGAGTCTGACGAGGAGCGACACAAACTGAGGACAGAAAGTTTGATCGTCTTAAATAAATACTTGTGAAAACAAAAAGGATGTGTAACATTAGAGTCCAGCCGTGTGTCACTCCTCTTTATACGCCTGGAAACACAGAATCTCAATGGAAACACTGTTTCCTCGCTCATAGCTCCCCGGCCCCTTGAAGGAATCGAGGAGGCACAAAATGGTGAATTGAGAACGACCCAGTGTTTCTAACATGACTTTTAATTCTTCATAAGTGGTTCCGGTGTCTGACGTTGTGGTGTTTTTACCATAAACAGCCGAACCAGGAGACGGTCACCACTCCGGACCTGAGCAGCCTCTCGTCCCCGCTCATCGACACGGAGAGGAACTTGGGGCTGCTGCTGGGCCTCCACGCCTCCTACCTCGCCAAGAGCACCCCGCTGTCCCCCATGGAGATCGAATGTGCCAGTGGGTTCAAGGATTTTAAAGCAACTTGGTTTGAAATAAACTCTTTCAATTTCAATTTTAAACAGTGTTTATTTTTTCTTTTGCACAGAATGGCTCCAGTCGTCTATTTTCTCTGGCGGCCTGCAGACCAGTCAGATCCACTACAACTACAACGAAGAGAAGGACGAAGACCACTGCAGCTCTCTGGGTAGCACCACCCCGGAAAAGGCCAAACTCTACTCCCGGAGAATAACCCTCAGCGACCACGCACAGCCTTTCCTGCAGGCTATTGCTGACAACAACACTCAGGACCACACTGTGAAGGTTCAGACAACAACAGCGTTTACGTGCACAAAATATTACATTTCTAGCAGAATTCCTACTCGACTGTTTGCATGGTTAATAAAGATGAATATTCCAGTTTATGTGCAGCAGTGCACACTTCCATTAGCATCAAACGCTCCCTTTACAAACCTGCTGTAAGTATTTCAAATGTTCCCTCATTCTGCAGCTGCGGGCACGTTGCTCCCGTTTTGTAAAACTGTTCTTCCGAGATTTTCTTTTTACCTCAATGCACGACATCACAAACTGCAGTAGAACCCTCTATGAGACTCGTAGAGTGAATAAGCTGGAGACATGAACAATATCAACACATCACACATGTTTGACTCTCAACGTGATCCAAGAACTCATTCAGAATATACAAACGCAATATGATGTTTACATGAAGCATGTCAAATTCAGAATATTGTCATAGGTGTATGAATAATAGTGGGATATTACTGTGCATGTGAACATCGTCTTTGACTCGAGACCAAACAGAATAGACCCCCAGCAGCCATGAAGCTGAAGGTTCTATTCACTCACTTGATCTTCTTGTTTTTGTCGTAGGACTTCCTGTGCCAAATCGAGCGCTGCTGTAAGCAGTACCATCTCATCACGCCCATCACCTTCCCCCCCGAACACCCTGTGGAGGAAGTCGGCCGCCTGCTGCTCTGCTGCCTGCTCAAACATCAGGACCTCGGTGACCTATGACCTATACTTCTGGCTCACTTTGCTTTTTACATGTTTTTATTTATTTATTAATTGTTACCAGTTGAAGCACTGAGAGGCAGGAGTTTGTTCCTGAGGTTTTGTCAGATGATCTTCACGTTTGTTGTTGTAATACACATTTCTGCCCCTAGAGGGAGAAGTGCACCACCACCTCATGTTTTAAATTAGACTAAAAGCATTCGTGTTTTCTTTTCAGGTAAGTTTTAATTTACATAACCTTCAGGCTGAGAAAGTAAAACTGGAAGGAAACGTGAATGCTTTTAGTTCTATTTAAAACACGAGGACGTATGAAATGATTTATTGAAAGGACCTTAAAATAAAGGATCCTTTTCACCTGTTGAGTCATGAACACAGGAGAGAGAGAACACCTTCAATCAGACTTATTAAATGGATCACCTGAATACTTTCTTTCTCACTTGTCTCTCAGTGCCTCCGTCGTCAGACGAAGCATTGGAATCTTTCCTTTCTTCACCTCCTCATCCTCCAACTCTTTTAATATTCTCTGATCTGAATTGATTTACCCTTCTCTCTCTCTCTTCCTGTCACAGGCCACATTGCCCTCTCACTTGTCAGTCAGTGTGCCTTAGGTGTGGACCAAGGGAAGCAGAGGTCCCTCCCTAAATCTGTGATTGACGTGTGCCGCATGGTCTACCAGGCCAAGTGTTCTTTAATCAAGGTAGGATTCCTGCTTATAGCTTGTGTACCATGACGAGGGACTGTTGAGCGGAGAATGTGTTTTAGAGACGTTAGAACTTCTTGTGTTGCTGCTCAACAAAGACTATTTGTTTACATACAAGAATAATAAAGACATGTGGATTATTTTCTTAATGAATTATCTTTTTTTCTCTCAATAAAATCAAAAAGAACCGATAAGGAACTGATCCGATGAGCAGAATCAATAAGAGTTCTAGTATCGATAACCCGTCCCTGATAATAAAAGACTCTGAGACTAATGTCATGCAGGTGTAACTTGAGACATGGAGGAGAAAACAAAGAGTAAACATGAGCGTTTAATGACGTGTTTTCTTCAGACTCATCAGGAACAAGGTCGCTCCTACAAGGAGGTGTGTGCCCCCGTCATCGAGCGTCTGCGCTTCCTGTTCAACGAGCTGCGTCCGGCGGTGAGCAACGACCTCTCCATCGTGTCCAAACTGAAGCTGCTGAGCTCTCAGCCCCGCTGGAGGAGGATCACCCAGAAACTCATCCGGGACCGCAGGAAAAAAAGAGGTGGGTCATTTAAAATCGCATGAACTACAGCACACGTGACGGGGATTCGCTCTGCTTCACTTTGAATGTTGTTGTTGTTTTAGTGCCTAAGAAGTCCGAGTCTGCTGACATAGAAGAGCCAAAGCTGGAGAATGAAGGGACCGATGGGGAGGAGCTTAATGTCCACATCAGCCCCACGCCTGCTGACAGGAAGTCACCCACCAGCAAGACATCCAAGGTGCTTTAAAGAAGCTTCATTATTGGAACGTTTCACAGGATGTAACAAAAAATACATGCGTTCATTTTTAGTGTTATGATCTTAAATCAGCTTCTTCTCAAAGGTCTGTCGGACAGTTAAATATAATCTCCAGTCCTTAAAGGGATGCAGATTGGTATTGATTTGCATTTAGTTTAAGAATAACTAACGAGATAACTGTCTCTCACATGTGAAGATCTTTTATCACAGGCAGAGGTATGTTGGCAGTCACAATGTCTTCGGTCCAGTCTGACATTCCTGTGTTGTTGTTTCTGTTTCTTTCCAACAGGACAAATGGCATCCGCTTCTCAACACGGTGGCCAAAGTCCAGAAGTACCGCTGGCTGAAGCACAGCGTTCACGGGGTCTTCTCTCAGTCCAGCCTCATGGTCACCATCGTGGAGTTCGCTCTGAAGGAGGAGCCGCTGGACGTGGAGAAGATGAGGAAGTGTCTCCTCAAACAGGTGAGCGTCACTGACTTCTTAAGGAGTCATCGTGGTAAAGTAGAAGACCAAATGAAGGGGACCGCCAGATGTCATTTACTGACTTCCTCTTTCACTCTGATGAGTCACCAGAGGGTCGTCACGTCAGGACAGAGACATTGAGCGACATTAAGTTGGTGAAATTGAGATTAAGCTTTGTTTATACCACAGACGGCATGCGACCTCTGAGCACCAACAAAGACCTTTATCCTCAATGTTGTTTTCATTATTCTCTGAAACTCCAGAGGACGAACAAACACAATGAACTCTGAGGAGAGTAACCGACAAAACTCCATAAACCAACCTCCACCATAGAGGAGGGATTATAATCATCTATAAACTCATATCTCATATTCATAAACTACTTTATTACCTTCATACAAACCCTGTAAATAAACAAGTATTAAATTCATTATAAAGAAACAAAGGTTGAATATAAACTATTTGATTTGGCTGATAAATATTTACTCACATTTTTTTTTGAAGACTTCCTGTTTCTAAAGCTAATAAAAACTAATTGTTCTTCTTTGTAAAAAGTGTTTTAATCAGTGAATCAGTTTGTGACAGTATGAACTACACTTTGGTCTACTTGATCCTAAACGTCTGTGTGCGCTTCCTTTGGAGCTTTTATGAACTTAACTTCAGCACAATAAACACATACACTGTGTAGGTTCATCCCCTAAAAGACCTGAAGACGTGTGCATAATGAACTCTACGTGAAAAAACATGTGGACTCTGTTTGACTGCAGCTGGAGAGAGCCGAGGTGAGACTGGAGGGAATCGACACCATGCTGAAGTTGGCCTCTAAAAGCTTCCTGCTGCCGTCCGTGCAGTACGCGATGCTCTGTGGCTGGCAGAGGGTCGTACCAGAAGGAACCAACATCGGGTGAGTCAGCCGCTTGGGATCTATGGGCAAGAAAGAAGAACGAGTTCCTTCAATCCTGTCAAGTGAAGTCATATCTTAGCAACTTATTTTGAAAGGGTTCGAATGTCCTCGGTGTCAAAAACCTGCCATGAAATTAAATGTTATTATTTCACCAACATCAGTTCTGATCATAACTACCAAACATTCATTCATTTTCAGAGTGTAAAGATAAATCAAGTAAATGGATAAATCTGGTGGAGATAGTAACAGGTACAGTTGAGAGGTCAGGTGTGAAGTCTGATGTAATGAATCCTGTACTGTGATCAAACGTTTTTGAACGCTTTAATTTGACTTTCATGTCCTTCAGGGTCTGAACGTCTGTATCTTGGCTCCACAGTTTATTGTAGCACCTGAGGTTCAACTTCCAAAATACAAAAACACACACTTGCCAAAATGTATGCCATATTCATTTACACAACCAAAACATTAAAAAGTAAAACATGTCCCAGTGAGGCGCAGGTGTTGATGCTGTCAGTTCATGGGATTTTGTGTGACTGCTGAAGCTAAAATGTGTGTCTGTTGTAGCCTCCGTGTTGTGGTCTCATGGTGGTGTTTTTAGA